CTGTTTGCGATGATGTCCTTATTTATACATATGTGGATAGACATATGTTTATGCGTATCTTTATTCACATTAGATAGATACCCTAAACCCCTAAACCCCTAAACCCCTAAACCCTAAACCCTAAACCCCTAAACCCCTAAACCCGGCCGAGGTATGGAAACCGGGTGTGCCTTTCCAGCTCCCTGAGGCCGAACCAGCCACCAGAGCCGCATGCAGACTTGGGCTTTAGGGTGCCCAGAGACTCCAACATCCCTTAGTTAAGGAATATACCTTAAATCATAGTAGGATCCTTAATATGATTTAAGGTACATTCCTTAACTAAGGGATATTGGAGTTTGTGGGTGGAGGCTTTCGGGCTCAGGAGTTGGGGGTTTGAGATGGGTTCCAGCTTCAGGGGTTTAGGGTTTAGAGGTTTAGGGGTTTAGGGTTTAGGGGTTTAGGGTTTTGGGTAATTATGATGCTTCGGGGGCGATGATCTCGACACTTTTGGGCATGGGGCCCTGGGGTGCTCGCACGACGACTTCAACAAGACGGTTTAGGGTTTAGGGTTTAGGGTTAAGGGCCATCTTAAGCCACAGCGGCTACTCATGCGACGCGACTACTTTTACGACCGCGACGACGGCAGCGGCTACAACAACTGCGACCGCCGCAAACTCTGCAACTTTGAGGATATGATGGGAACGATATGCCTCCAACGCAACATAGGACCAGGCGCCACTTGAACCTGAATTTCTTTCACCCAGAATGCTTCGAACCCAAAATCCAGAACCCTATAAACCTTCAACTCCGGAGTAAAAGCCCGTTTCACTTTCAAAAAGGCTTCGACTCTTTATGAACTCGTGTCAACCTTCCACACTTAAACCCAGATGCCCGATATCAAACCCCCATATTCACATGGTGGAGCCCTGGAAGAACGGCAAAATCCCAGAGGCCGTCAACCCTAAACCGGAAGCAACTCGGGGCAGCCCTTAGCTTCAGCTGCCTCAAACCAAGCTGTGCCCACCTCGGCATTTTTGAAGCTTCCTGAAGGGTGCAGGGTTTAGGCCTTAGCTGAAGGAGGGCATGGTAATAAGGAGGCACTATAAGCGTACTATGAGGGGTATTATGCTACAGGACTGTAAGGTTTTAGGGTGTTGTAGGGTTAGTAAAGGAACAAAGGGAGTTTCCTGAATTAGAGGCGCCTTATTTCGGGCTTTTTTGTTAGCAGGGATTCTCGTGTATAGGGGCTTCACAGCATTTTAGGGTTTTGGGCTTTCACGGTTTCGGGGTTGAAGGTGTCATATAGAGGTCGGAATATTGATAGTATCTCCGTATAGTTCCCTTATAGTTATACTCTCATCTACCCCAAAAACTTGTTCTATGAGGCACACCGATATTCGGCTTGAGAGGTTTAACTTCAAAGTTGTAATCTGAAGCCTTGCCGTCCAAACCCTAATTCTTGAACCCTATCATTCCCAATGTCCGAACACGCTGCTTCGGCACTTACAAATCCGTCCCCCCCCCTAAACCCTAAACC